CTTGGATTTTTTTTCCACCCTTCATGCCTTTTATTATCGTGTTGCTCAAGACCTCCTAGTCTTCTGCACTCGGTCTTTATTTAACAGAGCACTCCCCACTTCTGCTCTCCACACTAAACCGTGCTCATTAGGTTTCTTAATCCTCCATAATTTGCTTTCATGAAATCTTATGCCTTTGAGACGTTGTGTTCTATGAGCCCATTTCCTTACAGCTATCGCTTGTATAGTGATTCCAAAAAGCACAGCAAGCACTAAATATGAGCTTGCTTGTTTTCTATAGAAAACTTTGTTTGGAATGTTTATGGGTCATGAAACTCTACCTCTTAACTTAGTATTTCATTTTTCACCCAAAGATTGCCTGAGATGTTTAAAACTACAGCAAAAGCCCATTGGCAGTCTTTAGCAGAGAGTTATTAATTTATTAGCCTCAGAATCTTAGGTCAAAAATAACAATATCCCACTTCATTGCTGATTAGTAAATTCAAACTATATCTTTGCATTATCCCTAGGACTTAGAAAAGAATAAAACCCATGTGTTTTTGCAGTTATTCTGCAAGAGCTTGGATGACACACATCCTACTATCTCACTGTCGGCCTGGATCTTTTTAACCTCTCATCCTAGGTTTTCTCCATTCTATTCATTGGCACTTCTAAGGGGTCAATTCAGAACTGCCACAAAAGCACATGCTACCTATTTTATTTATAACTCTTTAGGAGCCTTTGAATAGAAAAGTTGTCTTGGTTTGTGGCCTGAAAGAGTTAATGAATTTTCCAAAGGTGCCAAGCTTTACTCCAGCAAAGCTCATACTTCAACTCAGTATACATTGGTTTCTGAGCCTCCCCATCCAGCTGACAGAAAGCAAAGCCAGAGTTCTTTATTTAATTGGTTTGCATCCACGCGCTGACCTCCAGGGCTCTGTTTATATAGCCTATCATGCAAAATGCTCCACAGCTCCCCGCCTTTCAAAAGCCTGTTTCTCCTGAGATTTGATATACGGCTTTCATGTTTGGTCACTGCATTAAGCTCAATGCTCTGCTTCCTCCAGCATCAACTAACTTCCCTGCTTGGGTGGTGGGGTGACAGGCACAGCTTCTTGCTTCTTCTGAACATAAAAGAAAGTCTGTTTTACTCTCTTAGTGAGATCTCCAAGTCTGCAAGCTCTTAGGCAAGAGACATCAACTAGGAACTCATGTTAACATTAAAAACTTTCGAGTTTCTTTTGAAGGAAAGAAGGCCAGCTCACTCTTCCCAACTGGCAAAGCCAAACTTCAGGTCATTGAGTCATAAATCAACATGTTTTTAAATCAGTGTAAAACTCAGTATGTAGAAACCACAGAGTGAAACGGGAGCTCAAATCTCATCCAGATTCATCATGAGGCAGGACATTTCTGTGATTCTCAGATCAGAGTGAAGTGAGTGCCTCTGCTCTGGCTGCAGGGTTTCCTCATTAGATGACTTACCGGAAGCAGAATTTCAGTCTCTACCTGAGTGGGAATGCAACCCCCTGGTTCTTAATCCATATGTGGCCCAAACGTCTAAACAGTAAAAATCCTGAAAACTTAGCTGTTTTGCCCAATCTGCAATTGTCAGATTTTAAATACCACATACAATGTGCTATCCTTTAAAATATTATGAGGAGAAAAAGAAAATTAATGGCAAATTAATAGTAGTAAAATTTAGATGATAGTTATGTGGTGCTCTTTGAGGAATACTATACCCCCTACTTCTTTATTTTTTTATTTTTTTATATATTTGAATTACAAACAAGATTGAATTACATGATGATCCCAGTTCCCTTCTCCCTCCCTTCCTCCCCACCACCCCCCAACTAAAATCCTACCTATCATATGTCCTTTCTTCTAATCTACACCTGACTCAAAATTTCTGCTTCCTCATGATCTCTGCATCCTTCCTTTTCTTCCCTTCTCACTCTTGTAGCTTCTTCCCCCCTCTTCCCATGTTCTTATACCCCCTACTTTTAAGTGTGGTTGAAATTTTCAGTATAAAAATTTTAATTTTGGGAGCTGGAAAAATGGCTTAGTGGTTAAGAGCATTTACTACCCTTGCAAAGGACCCAGGTTTGGGTCCCAGCACCTACATAGCAGCTCTCAACTGCCTGTAACTCAAATTCTGGAAGACCCAATACCCTCTTCTGTCCTCTACAGGAACTACACACACACGGTGTGCATAATCTCCTACAAGCACACATACACACAAACCAAGTAGATTCTTAATTTTAAAAAAATTAATTTAAGAAGCTAAGAAGATCGTTCTGACAGTAAAGTTCTTGCTCTACAAACATGAAGACTCGAGTTTGATCTCCAGAACTCGTCTTTAAAAAATAAATAAATAAACTGCCAGGTGTGGTGGTATGTACCTGTAATCACATCACAGCAGTCTAGACCCAGGAAGAACAGGGTCCTTGAAATTGTTGGATGTCAATCTAGCTTACTTGGCAAGCTCTCAGCCAGAGAAATGAGGCCAGACATAGTGGTGTTTGACTTTAATACAGCAAAGTTATCCCCTGGCCTATACACATGCACACATGCTCACACACACTTATGCACACAGATACATACACACACACACACACACACACACACACACTACATGTTTAAAAATTTGCAGAAGTTGTCAGTAGGCTTTCTTTTCATAAAAAAGGTAATAAGCAAAACTTGGTTATTTCCTTGGTTGATCATTTGATGTGTACTCAACAACTGATTTATTTATATAATTGCAACAAAAACCTTCAATCCTCCTAAATCTTACTGAACAGCCTGAAACTCATCTGTGCAAACTACAAATGTTGTGTAGTAAGCTCAATTCATAAACTGGATACTTTGCTTAAACAATATGTGTGTGTGTTGTGTGAAAATTATGTGTATATACATATACAAATTCTTTAGAATCCTTTCCTTTATGGCTAGTCATTGACCATCATATTTAATGTTTAGTTTTCTTTATTAAGAGCAGCACCATTCTCCACTTAAAGATCTTACTTTGTCAAACTGTGTATATTATTAGACAATTCTGTAGTCAATGAACAATGAAGAATCTGAACCTATTAAAGTTGCACATTTAATTGTTAGGATGTGTTATCTTATTCATAACCAAAATTTGCATAATGTAAAATACCAACCAATTAATCCAATGCTCCCTTTGTCTGATTCCTCATCAATGGTGAGCTTAGAACTCAAGAGGGGGAAAATATCACTATTTCTTAATTTGAAAATGTCTAAATTTATTCCATAGTTGAATACAAAATCAAAGCACAAATAAACTTTTAGTTCATATTTCCCATAAGTCCTTAGGCATCTCTAACATTAGTTTTCAAAGATATGTGGTTGTTGTCTAACATAGACTTCCAAAAGAAAAAAACAGATTGAAGAAAAGAGTTGTGGACAGAAGAGTGAAATATGAGCCTGTACAGATGTTATAGTCATTTCCATGATAAACACTAGCCTTCTGTGCATGAATTTAGCAGCATGCTTTAATTTGAACTAAAAATCTTACCATAAATTACCTGGCTTTGACAATCACAGCCTAATATTTCAGTTTTGTGCACTATTGCCAGCTTTCACTTCCAAAATGAAGCTATCGAACTTTTTTATTTTTAAAAGCCGCATTTCAGGTCTTGTACATTAACACCAGCTTGTTGGTTTTTGTTTTTGAGAACTAAACTACATAATCAATAAGCAACAGTTATTATCTTATCATCTGGTGATTGACTGACAGAGAGATTTTCAAGGCATGTAGTTTTTGTGTCAAGAATTTACTCTCCATCGATTTATTTATCATTTTACTTAGATATTTCAGCTATTAAATTTGCTTTACCCTGTTTGAGTCAATAAAGAGGCAAATAGATGTTTCAATGTCATTTCATAGTTAGCCTCCACATTGTTAATACTTTCTGTTTGATTTTTTTTTAACCAAAAATGTTTACCTGTAACTTCAGTGGCACATGTGGTGAGAAGCCCAGAACACTCTGATTAGAAGGGTGGTGGAATCCTGGTATTTAAATTGGGTGAATTGGTGAGGTCAGATCTACAGACTTCATCAGCTGAAAGGAGAGTACCTCCAAACTAGAGAAACTCATAATGGTGCACCCACAAGGACAAGCAGGCTCACAAGAAAGGAGGGCAGGCTAGCTCTGTGACACTTGTCAAAGGAATTCATGGCCACTGGTTCCTCTGTGCTCAACAAGCAAACACATTTTAGAGTAAGATGCAGTGACTTTAAAATCCAATAAGTTATGTAATTTTCCCCTGCAAATTATTATCTCTTAGAATTGAAAACTAATGTTGACATATTAACAGTCCATCAAAGGGCATAATTCCTTGGTGCCCGACATGAGGACAACTTTTGCACTTTGGTTACAAACCCTACCAGCAACACTGCAGTACACAGATCTCAGCAAGAGGTAACAGATACAGCCAATCCCAAGGATGATGCAACTACATCCACGCTAAATCATAAGAAACCGTCAAATGTGACTGATAATGCTGCTGTAAGATGCAAATTCTGCCTCAATAGGTGTGAAACAATAGATTAAGGTGATTCTAATTTGCTATCAGCACCCCCCCATAAAACACAAAAAAGCCTGTCACAGATGAGCTCCCATTTCTATTGTGTACCCCCCCCAAATCATTTGTAGAGACTCTTTAAAAAATTAAGATGTTTTGTATATTTGCAAAGTAATATTCTGTTGTGAGCCATAACTGTGGGCAACATCCGCCACTGTTTCCAAAGGGGAAGTCTGCAGACACAGAGCACTTAATGCTTATTTCACAACCATGAGAGATCCTAACGTCATCTCAAATTATGATTGGAAGCCTCCCAGAGCCTTGCTTTGAGGTGGGCTCACATTTAGAAGAGAGATTGCTCAGTCGTTTAAAATCCAAATGATTCTTGATATATTGAATCACTTTTCAGACAATAATGTAAAAAAAAAAAAAAACAAAACAAAAACCTCAGAATAACATTATTAATGTGAACATACCTGAACCAGAGTCAAATTTGGTTTCTGACCTGCAAAGCAAAGAAAATTAGTATTAAAATTGTAAAAAGATCTGAGGTGGGGAGGTGCAGTAATTATAGATTTCTATATAATGGTCAAGAAATAAAATCATTTCCTTAACATAAAGCTGTATTTATGTCAACCATTTCAATTGAACGCCTACATTAATTCAGATTATACAGTAAGAAAATAAAATAACTCTCAAAGTTAGCTTTTTAGAGAAGGGATTTTATTTTTCAAAATATCCAGTCTTTCTTCGCAGATAAACTTTCTTCAATAGTATTGTGGAATGATAAGAAAAAAAATCCAATCCATAATTATGCCTTTTACTTTATCATTAAAGATGTTCAATTACTTAACAGCAAGTAGATCCTTAGCATACAACAAGTGAACTGAGTAACCCCAGACACTTAATAAGCAGGAAGGAGAAACGGTTCCTTGTGGGAACATTATGTTTCAGATACAGGTTAACACTGGCTGTAAATCCAGAAGCCTTTGAAGCCGTTGGTCCGGCTGTGGGAAACTGCTGTTGGTAATTACTCTCAAGATGCCTCTGATGCGCTGTCAAGCAGAATTAACCCGGCGACTGGGCCTATCCACACAGGCCGCTGTAAGACAGCATTGTCTATATCTAGCTCTCAAACCAATTAGTGGGCATGCTCACTCGGATTTATATCACACATTAACAATCAACGGCATATATGTTCACAGCTGCCACAGCCAGATACAAGAACCAAGCAGCGGGGGTCCTGTCAGGGATGTTACGTTAACAGAGAAGATTTTTCCCCTCTGTGGAAATGCAGTTAACTAACTGGGAAAGGGAGCTCTTTGAAATTATGCCAGAGTACCAAAGCATTTTAGAAGGAGTGGCTTGCCTCACTTAAACTAGCTTCGAGAGAACTCATCAGAGAACAAAGGGGGAAATAAGGGGCTTCTTTGGTCACAAAACTTCATTTTCTCAAGTACTCTCAAATTTCACCTTATTTCTAAACAAAATCAACAATTTTCCATATACATACTACTTGTAAGCACATATGGTTATACATACTCAGATATCAGTGTGTCTGTCTGTATGTTTGTATGTATGTATGTATGTATGTATGTATGTATGTATGTATATATTTATGTATGTATGTATGTAACCACAGATCTGGTTTTGCGGGGGGTTTCTCTGTGTGGTGCTACAAATTGAACCTAGGGGCTCACACATGCTAGGCAAGCACTCTGCCCCTTAGCTCTACCTCTAGTTCAACCAACTACAGGTTTTAGCAACTGCCTCTAGAATGCAGACCCCGCTTCCCCCCCCCCACAAACCCAACCCTCATCTCTGTTCTTCCCTTCTGTGCCCGCCTCCCATTTCCTGTGCAAAGCCACATCACTCTTTGAGATCCATGACTTTGGAATGGCTGGCTTCATGAATCCACTGTCCCCGATGACAACTCAAAAGTCTTTTGTGTGTCACTCTGCCGGCTTCCTTACGTACTTCCTCTCTAGACCTCAGCTATGTCTTATCAGCCTTTGTAGCCACAGCACCTCAATATACCTGGTGCATGTACCCAGATGTCTCTCAAGGGAAACTACAATGACAAAAGCCTTGATGAGACATACATTTTGAGAGATATGAAAAATGATGTTAAAAAAAACTTTCTAAGAATCTTACCTTGTCCTGAGACAGCTGGTCAGTGTGTAATACATACCCATAAAATGAATATAAAACATTTTCACAAACCAATTAGTGTCCCCAGGCATCAATTAAGAAGTAGAAAACATTTTCATAATCCTCAGACATAGTATTAAACATTAAAAAATACACTGTGAACAATTAAAACCTGATCATAAAATTAATATGGTCAGATTCGGGGCTAGGGGAAATTGGTCCTATGACATCTGTTCATTCAAATTCCTATGAGATTTTGCACACTCACATAACCAGGGACAGAGTCTGTTGTGCCATACTCTATTCTAGCATCTGCTATAATAATATGTTCATCAATGCTCTTTGAGAACATGAGTAAAATAGGGGCAGGAACAAGCAGTCGACAGGGGTGGCAGAAGGAGGTCCAGGGCATTCAGTGACATTCCAAGCACGTTCCTTGCAGGCTTAGTTCTAGTAGTAGTTATACTAGATACCAGAACACACACACACACACACACACACACACACACACACACACAAAAGGGCACAAAGCAGGACACAAAATGGATAATATCACAGTGTTTCCAAAGACACTCATTCTATTCCTAAAGTCAAAATGATCGCCTCAGTTCCTTCGGTAATCACCAAAGGAAGGTGTTTTGTGCTGTTACTGCTTTCCAACATACATTCACGCTTTTGTATTTCCCAAAGTTTTAAATAGGCACATGGCCACATAGGTGAGATAATATTTCCACACCGTTCAGCACCTCTCTTGTGGCTCATTGTGGCCATGTGACCTAATTATCTTGCACCAGGCTCTGTCTCTTAAAGATTCGGCACCTGAACACATCACACTGGGGACCAATGTTCCCGATCATGAACTTTTGGTGGGCACACTGCATCCACAGGCAAATCATATCCAGGTTTACACTAGCATTTACAAGTGTCTGAGTGTGAAAACAAAGGTCTTGTGAAAGGAGGACAGTGGGAGACTCGATTATCATTACAATTTTTAAAATAATTTAAATATATAACACATAGAATTTTTATAGAAAAATGGCAGGTTTTCAAGAGAGGGTATATTTGATCACTGGTTAGAGTTGTATGCTTCTGGAGAAATAGAAACTGCCATTTTCTACTTACACAGAACATTTGAAGTAAGCCAAAATGAAAAGAATTGAAGCAGAGAATGTAGTCTGGTTGGTGGAATACTCACCTAGTGGGCAGTAAGATCTAAATTTCATCCCTAACACTGTATGAACTGGTTGTAGCAATACAAGACTTGGGAGGTTGAAGCAGGAGGATTAAGGAAGTCAAGGCCTTCCTCAGCTATATAGAAAGTTCTAGGCCCCACTGAGCTACATGAAAACCTGACAGTACAGAATAAGAGGAGAGAGGAGGGAGAAAAGTAGGGAAGACCAAGAGAAACTATAGTATTTCGGGGCAGAAATTGTAATATCTCAGGGTCCTATCTACTAGTCTCAGAATTTCTTTCTGCTCCTAGAAGAAATGCAAAGGCCTTTCTCAGACAGAACGTTAAATAAGAGCAGTAGGCATTCATGTCCTTTCAAGCAATGCAACTACAGTATGCTTCCTCTACTTGGGATATTTCCATCTTCCCTGATACCTAGCCCCAGAAACCTTCTGCACATATTAGCTTCATAATTAGTTTTCTGAAAAGAAAATTACCAGACTGGCTGACATTTTGGCCCCATAACACTGCCACACCTTCCTGGCACTCAAAGTTATAATTCTACAACATATTTGTTAATATGAAGTTTTCTTATACTGCATCTTGGTGGAGTTTTTTAAAATACTTACTAATTACATATGAATTGTGAATACAAGTAGGCTTTTACTGTGACATTTCCACACACATGTGCATTGTTTTGTAATGATACCTAGAGTTCAACAATGGAAGCCGACATTATTAATTGCCTACCTGAAAGCTAGTCTCTCTTTTCCCCAATAACAGAACTGTGGTTTCTGAAAGGGGCTAAGATATGCCTACTACAGTAATGATTTCTGTATGTCCTTTGATAACTGACTCAAGGATAGCCCCTTAGCCCAGCTGAGTCCTGAGAGGTAAAGTCTGTTGATGAGTGTTATTAAAAAGATCATTCTTGATTAAAAAGAGAAAAAAGGTTATTGAGAGGGAAAGCCCTTCTCAGGCTCTCTGCACCTTTCCTGCCTTCAAAGTTGCTGCGTGAAGGCACTGGCTCAGAACTGCCAGTGTCTTGCAACCCCAAGAGAAAGGCCAAGACAATCACAGAGATGCAGCTCGGCACCTCAGAGGCATGCCTAGATGTGTGAACATTGCTTTGATTGAGGAATTTCTATTCAAAAAACAAATACACTCTGTTTCTTTTCAATTAGAGCATTAATAGATTATTCCTCATCTGTCCCTGTGTTTGAAATTTATAGCTTGATAACAATGCTACAGATCTAGACAAGTCTCAAAACACAAAAACGTTTAAACCACAGTCAACTCAAACGTTTATATACACATAGGCTACCACAACCAAAACCCAAGGAAATGCTGGAAGGTCTAGTGGCTGCATAGTTGTTTTGTTTTGTTTTGTTTAATCAATCACAAATGCCCAGAAACATAGAAATCAAGATAATTATTAGTAAAAGAGCAGCAAGAATTAAGCCAAACCACACTGAAAACAAGATGCACTTACAACCACTGTGATGAACTGTGCAGTTAACAACATATTGTATTGTACATCTTTCCCCTCCTTATGAAAATCAAATTTGTGGTTACTTAGTTAGGAAATACTGCTAAATGAAAACGTCCCAAAGTCTTAACATTTTGCAAATACTAGTCCCTCTGTGAATGTGCTATGGTTCTGCAGCTTGGTGTTCTTGTGGGACTCCTAACAGTGGGAGTAGGGAGGTCTCCGATTATTTCATCTAATCTGTGGCCCCTCTTGCTTCTGCTGGGTTGCCTCATCCAGCCTTGATATGAGGGTTTGTGTCTTGTCTTATTGTAACTTGCTATGCTGTGTTTGGTTGATATCCCTGGGAGGCCTGCTCTTTTCTCAAGGGAAACAGAAGGAGTGGCTCTGGGGAAGAGGGAGGTAAGATTGGTGAGAGGATTGGAGGGAGAGGAGACTGTGGTCAGAATGTAACGAATGAGAGAAGAATAAATAAACAATGCAAATATTAAAAATGAATAAACCATGTTCAAAAGATAAGCCTATGCAGAGACAAATGAATGTGGATTGCAATGATTTTTACAAAAGGAATAAAAGTTTCCAATACAAGCAAGAAAAAAAAAGATAAGCCTAAGTTCATTACAAAAACATTAATATCTGAGAAAACAAATCAAGACATAAAAAAAGACAAGATGAAGGCAAGGAACCAAACATA